GCTCGTTTCCTTCGACTGATAAATACACGTTGAAAAACAGGGTGAAGAAGTTGAGACATCGAGAACGCTGTTACTTCCTGATTTTGCGCGATACTTCTCTTTCCCTTTCCCGCGAGTTAATGAATCCGATTCCTCGACGGGGAAAATCAACAGCCGCGAGGATTATGCGAGGAGCGGCGGCAGAAAAAGCGGTACTCTCCACCCGGCTCTCTCCGGTCCGGTGAAATTGATAATGACAGCGAAGATATGTGAACGGGTTCGATTGGTTTTTCGCGCGTGAAGGCTCCGGCAGGGAGGCTCCATCGATCTTCAAGGATTCACTCGCTCGACGAGGGAAAGAGTGGCGGTGGGAACATTAAAATCGCCTCGCGCCGCCTGGTGATTAAGCTTAATTGGAGCTTCCCGAGCGGAGCCTCCCTCGGCGCACGTACGCGCCGAGCGAGAAATATCTGTCCCGGGATTAACGTGTTTTACCACGAATTCACGATTAATCCGTGCGCCTTATAACCTACGTCGGGCGAGCGCTGAGGATTCGGTCCCATTTAGCGCGAGATTATTCCCAGGTCTAATTTCAGATTAACGGCGGCTTCGGCCCGGCAACGCTGCGCCGGCGAAATTTTGGGCGCGACTCGATTCGCACTTCGATATGCGCGCCAGCGATGCACGCATCATCATTTGACCGACAAATGCAAAGTGTATTTTCTCCCGCGGTATTAAACACCGTGAGATTAAGTGTGTAAACTCGGCCCCGTTATTAATATCTACGCGCGTTTATCTAATCCCGAAGTTTACCGCGGCAAAATTTCCCGCTGCGTTTAACACGCGCGTCTGGAACGGGTAGGAGGGGATCACTATGAAATAATATACTTCGTTTATGGCGCACTTAAGCTCTGCGCGACGCCAAGTATTTCTATCATAAAGTATACAGAGCGGCCCGCGCTCTTCTGCCGCATTATTTTTTAATGACGGTTTCTCTGGCCAACTTCCGGCCGCCGGAGCCTTCCTTGGTGAAAACGTCAAGGCGAAACTAGTCATTTCTGTGTTACGAACCGTCCAGGAAGAACGGCCTCTTTGCGAATTAGATTACAGGAGTTCAAATGGACAAAAATATACCCTCAACTTTTCAGCTTATTACCTCTTACGAAGACATTTCACCGTTTTCCCGCCTTTTATAGTTCGTCTTTTATCCGTTTTTAACTCTCGTTCTATCACTTCTATGCGTTTCTTACATTCTCAGGCACGCGCGGCCTATTGAGCGAAGGAACATGACGGGTGTACGCGGGTATGAGTATTTTTGAGGAGATTGCCTGTCTCCAATGCTCGTTTTCCACCTGATGAGCGACAGCACGTTAATACGTTCCTCCTTTATTCACTTTCGTTTCAATATGGAAAGAAGTGCGTCGAAGAGCCGCGCGTTTACTCGTGCGATTTCAAAATGTGCAATGTCACCGAGTGTTAAACAAGTATTTTTTTTAGCTGAATGTACGTTTACAACTTTAAACGTACACAGCACTGTGCGTGTTTACTACTCAAAAATGGTATGTAAATACCATTTCGGATGTACCCAGATATGCCATCCGCTGTAACCGTTCGTTATTACGGGAAAGTGCCGTTTTTGATCTAAAGTTATATTTAAAAAATGTTGAAATATTCTTGTAAGGGATAATTGTCTAATAATGATTTTTATTTCTGTAGCATATCAATATTAAACTCGATTGGAAACATTTACAATTTAATATATCAAAAGCGATTAACTTCTTCGATGTTTTGTTGAGAGAAGATCATTTTCTATTTGTCCGGGGAATCTGCCACCGCGAAATAACAATGGAACGCTCCGCATATTATTCTTTCGTATCGGTTGTTTTGCGCTAAAGTCGAATCACGGATCTCTCTCTCTCTCCCTCCCTCCCTCCCTCCCTCCCTCTTTTTCGGGATTTTTTCCTCGAATGTTATTCTTCGACTGTTTTCGCGCGCGTCGAAATGCGGCGAAGTCCCATTCGGACATTCACGGTCCTGCCTTGTTTCCTTAATTATTTTCCTTATTAATTAATTTCCTTAGTAGTGGAGATTCATTAAGCGAATCATGCTCGAGGAGAAAGCCGTACTAGTGTCGATGGGAAAGATCCTGGGTGACTTTTAAATCTTCGTGTTTCGCGTCGATGAATAGTCGTTCGGGCCGACGCGTAAACCCTTAATTAAGGTTGCGATTAAGACGCGGTACTCCCTCCGCGGCACTCTCCCCCTCCCCCCCGCCGCCATCTCGAACTCCGTCTCGCGTTTCGGTCCAAATGGATTAAGACGTCATTGTGACGCGGCTCGTTCAATTCAAACGCCGTCTCCTCTCGCGAGTGAACCGGCAGAGCGGAGCGAATGCAGCAATATCGTTTTGATTGCGCGGCCGTTATGTCGTCGAGCAATAAATAAAGTGAGGGCCGAACGTCAATTAAATCGTTAATCAAGTCGTTACGGCCCGTTGGCGAATTTCTCGCGCTGAACCGACGGGAAAGTCGTAATGGCGTCTGTTGAAAAATTTACGCCGCTATTTCGGCCGTTGTACCTTTCGCGCGAAACGCGCGAATGAATACTTTAAAGCGGGGTGTGTCGACCACGCTCGTTGGCAGCATTCCACGGTTTGCACTTCGCAAAAAAAAAAGAGATATGGAAGAATCAATCGCGGGAGTAACGTCCCCCTTGTCTCCTCACCCTACGCCTCCTCCCTCTCCCCTTTCAACTCCCCTGGCCACGTTTCCAGTCGGGATAGAGTCTGTCACGTCAAATTTGTCTAAAAGCGAGCGTTTTGATGCGCTTTCCGCTCGAAATAAAAATACCCACCGCGGTCGATTGCGCAGCTGCGAATAAGCGGGCGCGCGAGAAAAATATTCGGTATATCGCGAGTAAATGCTTGCATATAACGCGCTCGCACTTATCGTGAATGGGGAGACCCGGCGGGAGATCGTCCAGCGACATAATAAGGATCAGCCGAGGCTAAAGAAAGCTTGACTGCGTCCCATTGTGCGCGAGGACTTGGCCGACAAACCCGCGCATTTCAGCCGGTCCCTCCAGCGAGCTGCTTTTCGCGCGCGAGTCTCATAAAGGGACGAAGTCTCTTCCGGTCTGCGACGGAATATGCGCTTCTCCCATTCTCATCGCCCGAGTTATCGTGTCACCTTCCCCAAAGTCGCCGTATCTCTTCCCCGTATGCCGAGTTCCGTTCACTCCGGCACACTCTCCTCTTATTTCAGCCGCAGCCACCGCTGATTGATCAACGCGGTGACGTCTGCAATCCGGTGAAGAAGCGCGCTGTTCTTCCCACCCGAAACTACAAATTCAGCGATCTCGGCGAATTGTGAAAGAGAGAGCGGAAGAACGATAACGTTAAACTCGAAGTGGTAATTCGGACGTTGCAAACAGATCTTTAAGTAAATTTCTCAGGATATATCGAATACTCATTCACATACCTTGCGAAATCTCTGCCCTTCTCTCTCTCTCCTCTCGCATACGGCAGATATTTGCGACTCTGGGACTGCAGGAAATACGGATTTACATTACGCTAGTTTGCAGTGTCAAGCGATTGAGCGATGTCAAAGGTCAGAAGCAGCCCGATACATTATACATTCCTGTAACACGCTTACATATTGTTGCGCCATGTACGCGGGCGACACATGGTCGGTCGGGGTCGACTGCATGTCGACCTATCTAGCGTGCGTTGAGACCGGGGAATCGGAGAACTGTCTCGACGACAAACTGCATATTACCCAGTTTTCTTTTTTTTTTCCCCCCCCTCGAAAAATTCGTTTCTTATAGCGAGATACCAGCACGCGAACGGCTCCGCACGCTCGCACGTACGCATGAGAATAGGGCGTTCCCGTCGGTGTTACCCGAGCGTATCGATTATGCATAAAGACCATCGCGCGTTTTACGACTGTCGGGCGTTCGCGTGTATTTTTATCGGCGGGAAAAATCCGCCGGCCGGCAATTAGTCCGTCGGCCGTGCCGGCCGGCATGCCGTTGCCCGGCCAATTTATATCACCCCTGTTAGGCGAGAGGATGATTGGCGGCTACCGATCGCGCATTGTCCGCGAGTGACTCGAAATAAAGGCCGCGAGAAATGCAAGCGCACAGGACGTATTTATATAGGAGCCAATTGCGGGCCACGTGAGCGGAAAATCCGCGCTCGTCGCTCGCCATCGGAAGCGCATTTGTTCCGGCGAGCGATATTCAATAACTCGATGACGAAGTCTGCAAATGACTGGAAGGTCCAATAAAGCGATAAAAATGACACCGGAAACACCCGATATATCTTCCACGGAGGCAATTTTATCAGGCGAAACTTTCGGACGAACGTTTTCGGGACTCGAGGGCTTCCGGTCGCGCGCGCGCGCGCGAGAGAGAGGGAGAAAGATGCGAACGAAAAAACATTATCCGTCTAATTCGTGCATCACACGTAAAACGCGAATGCGTTATTTGTACCGGGCGCAGGAAATTAAAACACTTTAAAGCGTTTTCGCGCGCAATGCCGCAGACGCGGACACCGCGCACGATGAATACCAGGCTGACCCCGGACGGAGGAAAATCCGGCCGCGATTTACTCGCCCGGAATACCGAATGACCGTGCGTGTATGTACGTATGTCTCCCGGGGCGAAGTTCGAGCAAACGCGCGGTATTGTTATCGCGCGTATAATATTTCCAGTAATCCGCAATCATCGCGTGAAAATCGTACGGTGAACGCAACCTTCGACGGATTGTTTTGCCAAGTACGGGGGGAGGGGGCGATAAAACAATCCCGACGAAATAATGACATGTACGAGCGAGCCGCGATGATTGTTCAGCACGCGTTCATACGCCGTTTCAAAAAGTGAACGCGTTTCCTTTCCTCGCCATTGTACCGGCGCTCCACCTGAGCACACATAATCGTTGCGCCGCGGCGCGTCCATTCCGCTACAATGGAGTCTTTTCTCACGCGCCGGGAAGCACACCATTTATTCAGAAACAACGTAACTCTGATGTGAACGGTAACGCGCAGAATTCGGCGAGTTGTTTTATTAAATCGCGCGGAATGTTGTTTAATGCTTGCGTTGACACAGCGTAGTGCGAAATGATCTCTTTTCCCCTTTAACGAGGAGAAAATGTACATTGGAATTGTTACGTATCATATTTCATACACGCATACGTTGTATAAATACATAATTCATAAAAACGCATAATGTATAAAAACAATTATCTGCATAAATAATCTTACTGCCCGCGTGAAGTGTAAATTCAAGATATATGCGTGCACCACGTGAAATTTATGTAATAATCCCGCGTTGAATCCATTTATAATAGATGATGCCGACTGGGTTTCCGAGATCCGGTGAAAACAGGGCGACGATGAAAACGGAAGCCGGTAGACACACGAAAAAGCAGCCCAAGTTATCTTCTCTGACCACGTGTGAAAAGTCCTGAAACAATTCGAACAAACAGCATTATTCTAACTGATAAATCAAACTTCGACGGTCATGTTTTCTTATAGAGATATACTCCTCCGATACTCTCGCTCGTTCGTTCACTCTCTCTCTCTCTCTCGCTCGCTCGCTTGTCCATTCAGCGATTCATTCACCCAATCTCTCCTTCATTCAATCGCTGGATCTCTCGTTGCATTCACGGCGCTCCCATTCGCCCATCTCTCCGGAGACTTTATGATAAACCCGATGTGGAGCAACCGATCGGCAAATGGCGATAATTGACACCGTAGACGATAATCGTCGGCGATAATGCGGCGATCGAGTACGCAGCGCGAGTACGTACGTCGGCTCGACGGCCGGCCGACGTCATTCAGCGATCAACGTGGCGGAATTGCTACAGGCGTTCCGGAAGTGAGTGGTAACGGGCCGCGCAACGCGATTACAGCAGCTTCCAGCCGCAACAATGGACGTGACGCACAGGTTGCTTCTCCTCGCGGGCCGGAGTGGGGATGTTATGCAACTTGGAGGACGAATCGCGCACGGCAAGTTAGAGATGCATAACTGTCTTTGGGTAGTCCGAGATAAGCCGCACGTACAGACGACGTAGAGCGCCCACGCCAGTTGAGAAAGGGCTTGGATGAAAGTCACTCCCACATTGTATTATACATACACCCCCGCGTTCGGGGGGTTCTTATGTACTGGAGGACTGCACCCCGGCTACGTGTGTGCGAGTCGCGCTGCCGTAGAGCCCGATATTAGCCGCGCTCAGGGACAGCTTCAAAGTTAGAGCCCGGCTCGCCGAGGGTGTTTGATATCCGTTGTTGGATTTCTATGTATATTTATTGTGCGCAATAGGAGAACTTTCCGCCAAAGGGCCTCGATCCGCATTCGCCGCTGCATTCGCCCTCGGCGCAGATGCACCGTGAAAAGCGACGCGAGGAAGGAGCGGCTTTAATTACGTCGATCGAAATTACGTCTCGGGCCGAGTCACGAGATTTATTTAGCCGGCGGACGCCGGGATAGAACGCGTATCTACCTTATGCAAATGACGCCGCGCGAATAAGCATGGAAATCGGCCCTCCTTCCTTTCTTACCGTCGTCGCAGCAGAAACGTCGGGACAACGCGAAGCAGCCGAACTCCGGCCGATTTTTATCTCTCCGGTTCGACGATACCCAACGATCCGGAATGGAGACAACGGCGTAATATCCGAAGGTTCGATCGCGATGATTGTTATCTTAGCTTCACCGTTGGAGCCAATGACGCGTTAAGGCCGCGGCGATGCACTCGTCGACGACCCGATGAGGCGTTTCTTAAGCGTTACGTCGAACTGCCGCGCGGGACGTGTCTTCACGATCCGCGTGTGCCAGACGGTCTATTACGCGAACTTGCCTCAGAACGTAAATAGAATGCACTTGCGTGTAACCTCCGCCGGGAGGGATAGTAAAACACGGAACTACCTGTGTGAGGAGGATAGCGCGCGCTCCCGCAGATGCGATGCTTATAATGTGTCTCTGAAGAAATTTTCCGACGATTCCCAGCGGAGGAGGAGGAGGAGGACGAGCGAGACGATGGAAATGGTCGTTTCCGCAGACTCGTGGATCACCGGAGCAAGCTTCTGCGGAGCTCGCCGGTCGGAAATAACGCGAAATGGTTAAGCTTCCGCGCGCCGTGCGTCCGGCGAGTGTGTAGAAATTTCTCGTGATTTTCCTACATACAGCGTAGATTCCGATCGGAGCTCTGGAAATAATCAAGATAGTACTCAATTCGGCCCGATGCATTGTTAAATTTAATTTCGTCCGATCTGCAGCCATTTTGATATCAGAAGGTTAATAATAAACGGGATTATATTTCTAATATTACTATATTTAGCGGGTGTGTGCGGTAGCGTATTTATGTATTCGTAAAGTGCAAATGTATTTATACATTATATATATTTATATCAAATATAAATGTACGTTTGCGTGGTATGTATGTAGTGGTTGGTAGCTAGAAACCCCGGGGTTATCTAAAGTGTAAATATTGAAAGTGTTTCGAATATATTGTTCAATTGTAATATGAGATAGAAATCAAGGAAAATCTTTGGGAAAACATCCGGGTGAGCAAATAGGATCTGTTTATATTTTTCACTTTGAATTCGACGCATTTGTTGGAACGTTATATTTCTAACCGGAACCTGCACCGAAAGCCGAGTTTGGTTGTCCCTTCTCAGGTAGATTCAGCCATTTTTCAGCAAATTTCCCAACTAAAATAATTATCTTGGGAAACTGGATCCCAATTAGGTTCCAAGAAGTTTTCTATGCGGATGAACGCACCAGTGAGTGGACCGGTGCCGATGGTTTATGTTCCAAAAGGCAAACAAAAACGGCGTGCAACCGGTTTGGTAACCGTACGCGATTGGTTCTGTCAGAATTTTGCACGGCCCGTTTCGCGCGGAGAGGAAACGCCGACGCGCAATCCCGCGATAAACCATCGCGCGATTTCGTTCCGATACGCGCGCGCACTGCGTTATTTAACCGGCGGGCTCGTATTTCTTGGCCACGCGGATACGCATCCGCGCGGGATGCCGTTGCGGAATGCCGATTGATAACGTTTTACTATAATCTTGATTGGATTCACCGAGATTGCGGTCCGCAACCCGCGCGTCGTTTATCGACCTCACGTTTTCATGCCGCATTCGTGCGTGCTCGCGCCTTTCATTTCTCTCTCTGTATCTTTCGCTAGTTATCAGGCTGAAAACACCATTTCGCCATTGTGCCTGTGCAGCGAACCAACTGGCAGAATAGGCTCAAACATTCGATGTAACTGGGTTATTAGAATCTCTTGACGGTACGCGTTATTGATATGCTGATGTTGATTGTTGATTCGAAGAAACGAGGACCGATGCGTCAGATTAGTAACCTGTCGCTGTGATAGTATCACATTGAAATCCAACCGATATCCAAATATCCAAAAACGAATCTATATTTAATATTATTAGGTACTAATAAAGTAGTAACCAGTTTAAACCGCGTGCCTTAAGCTATTTTGCCGATCGGTGTACATGTTAAATCGTTCGGGGTAAAATCTCAAATCCAAAACGAGTGTGAATTCATTCGAAGCGACAGTGATAATATTGTCACTCGAGCTTGCAAGGATGAATGTTTAATTCACGCACAAACTTACGGCGCATCATTAATTGACACGAGTGAACATTGCAATCCGTTTGGGTGAATTTGCTCCGGCGAGACAGTGCGGCGCACATCAGGTTCACTCTTCAATTTCGAATGAAGATGTTTACTCGACGATTCAGAGTGGAGGATTCAATCTGTATGAGCTAACAGTCGCACGACTTCGAGCGAGTCGAGACAGTCGTTCTGCTATTCGAGTGGAATTTCGCCGGAAGAAATTCAAAGAGAGCAGCGCGTTTTTTTTCTTCTTCAAATTTGCCTCACACATCCTCGTATAAAACTGTGAATCATAATTCATCCTCTCGCTGACCAATCGTGCGAGAAGCGATTAGATTCCGCCGGTCGCTCGTCTCGACGCGCTGATACTCTCGTATCGACTTCAACGAATTCACCTCTTTGCTCTCCATTCCTCCCACGTGAATCCTCGTACATTTTTCACGGCCGGGCGCGTATCGTATCCGTGAAAATACGCGGGCTACAAATCACGTATATAAATCGCGATTAGTACGCAGCTCGCGATATATCCTCCGGTTATTCTGTATACGGCAGGAGCAAGGGTGTGAGAAAGTGCAAAACTACCATGCGTCACATCTTCAAACGATCTATATCAGACGACGGTGAAGACGACGACGACGAAGAGTCGTAAAATCGATCCCGTTAGGATACCAGTGAAGTTCGATACGTTTCTCGTGGATTTTAAACTAACTCTCGGCGCCGGGACACTTTTTCGAAGTTTCGCACATAATGCATCGTACACTTTGATCCAACTTACATCCAGCGATACGCCATGCATTAGTAAGCGAGCGAGTTGCTGTTGCCGCTGGCGGGCGGAAACGCGACCGCCGCGTGGACGTGGTATACGACGTAGCACTCTTCCTCGCGTAATACATGAAGACTGTACGCCGCTACATCGTATACAATGAATTTCTAATCATTCGCCAGAAAAACCTAGCGCGTTAAGCAAACCGATCATAAATTTACAGGGGCGAAATACGCGAGGCAAACTTCAGCTACGTGGGTCGATTATTATGTATTAGCGATAAAATGTATTATGTATGAGCGTACTGCCGGCTATTAAGAATGACATTCGGGACGAATAGTTGCGTTAAATAATTCGTTACTTTTCAGAACTCTCTCCGGCGAAGGGGAAGATTAAGACGGATACTAATGGAAAGATCTGAGATGGTTCAAATGCCGTACGGAAACAAAAATATAGTTTTGAAAGCCCGGAAGTAAATAGTTCTTTTAAATAATAAACGAAAATATTTCAAATGACATCTACGAAGATATACTTAATTCAAAAATATTATAAATTTTTTTTCCAAAATATGTAAAAAAATATACATTTTTCAATTGCTATTGTTTTTTATAAATTAAAACAGGCAATTAAAGCAATATTTAAAAAGGCATTTAAAAATGTATTTTATTAAAACAAATAAAAAGAGCAATTGAAACAAATAAAAGGAGCAATTAAATATACACTTTTTAATTGTTCTTTTTAATATTGCTTCAAATGCCTATTCTAATTTCTCACATTTTATTGTATTTTTTTTACGTATCGCTTTTATATGAAAGATCAAAATTACATAGGAAGTATGAAGCTTCTATTATATATATATATATATATATATATATATATATGCATGCATAACTGTTGGGTTAATTAATAATTCACATATTTGTTTCTCGAGCGATGTATATACAGACTATATTTTTCCCACTGGGAATATATGAGTATCATTATTGCGCGTTGACGAACATTTATCATAAAAGAGAAGTCGGAGAAATATCGCAGAACGAGCGGAGCACTTTTCGCGGCCGACGCTGGAGGGCGGTAAGAAAACGGTAGGAAGGTACTACAATGAGGGCGAAAGGGAAGACCGGGGAGGGTAAACTGGATAAGAAAACACGGTGCCAAAGGAGAGGCAAACGGCGGTAAAAGGGTGAATAAACGCATGAGCCGGGGCGCCTTTAAGGAGGGGAGGGTCGTTCGATCGAACGCGGTGTCGGGCTTTTGTGATTTACCAGCCGGAAGAAGATCAGAAAGCAGAACCTGACTGCGCCGCGCGCGAGCAGAGTGTTCTTCCGTGGGAGTTAAGTAACGAAGCTTCGGAGCGATATCGACGCCAGGGCGCAAGTAGTTCGGAGGTTATTGTCCTTTTTCTCGACACGGTATATCGACAGTACATCGACGGCGCGGCGGCGCAGATGCATCTCGACTAGCGAGCACTGAACGAGGGGAAACTTGCTCCCGATATTTTTTTTTTTCAGAATAAGAGCCACGGAGGCTCGTTTGCATTCATTCTGCAGTTCGTTGTAACGTGTAATGTGACGATCTGCATGATGATCGCGCATCCCCAATGCTAATTTTCAAGACATGCTTCGCTATTCTCAATGAATACCCGAGTCGACATTTTGATCGAGATGTAAAATCTGATTCTTGATCTTATCTACAGCACGGTGGGGCTAAGATAGAAAAATAGGCTCAATTTCAATTCCGATAATACAGTTTTCTCTTACTTTAATCCCGATGTTCCGCGCAAACTACGCTTAAGAACCACAAAGTGGCATCAGAATTCCGACTCGGAGTGTCGGTGATTCTCAATCAATGTTTCGGCAAGAGATGAAAATAGGTAATCGCACGAAGAAAGTAAGAGAGAGAGAGAGAGAGAGAGAGCAATTGTCGGTGTAGTATGTTGTTTTCCAGAAAAAATTTCTCTTTTGTAAAAACGAGTTTTCTCGATGAGCGCCGATTACGCTAGGCAGTTGCGGCGAGATAATAATAATATATACGCGACGTAATAGAGCGAACGGGGAATTGTAGTTGTTATCCCCAGATATATGTTCTCTTTACGACTACAGGATATCATTTTTCTTCTCCTCCTTCCCTCGGAAAGAAAGGGCGGGAAACGCGTACGCCGGCACACGTAAGATTGAAGACGGCTAGTTTCCTCGGTATTTACGCATGTTTATCTCCGCGAGATAAAAAAATACCTCTTTACGCTCCTTTAGCAGGAGCGTCCTCTGCCTGTCTGTGTGTGGGCGGGGTTCTCTGGTTACAATCGGGTGAATCTCACGGGGCTCTCCGGCTCCGAAGTGACGTCTTTTCGATTAGGAATTCTTTGTCAACGTTAGAAGAATATCTCCGCGGAATTGCCTCCATATCCCCGGCGTTGTAAAGAACACAGGAGGGT